CAGAAGTGAAAAGTTATTTCGACCAAATTCCCCGAACAGTTCCAAATACGTCAGTTGAACCCTACCACTCCGTACGAATGTTATGCCGCATACGCAGCAGCACTAGAACCTTCCCGCGTCGTAACCTTACTCCATCAACATATCGATTCCAAACCAAGCGATGGAATTCAACAAATATTTATGGGCAAGAGACTGTGGAACTGAAATACGATGTTGCTCACGGGAGCTCTTCGCATTCAGAAGAAGGTAAAAACGGGAAGCTGGTGCTGTGTCATGGACTATTGTATGTACTCGATCATTATTAGCGTTTGGTCACGGCAGACTACTAATAAAACCTCCTGCTCCTTGGAATCGAACCTCGAAAAAACCTATACTCACGAACGGGAACATCTATTTCTTCTTCTTTTCGACGAATAATGCACTCGCAAATGTATGAATGGCTACAGCGGATCCAAGCAAAACTTTCGGTCACTTTCAAGGCAATTCGCTAAACGACTCGGAATGGACGTCTACTGTGTAGACCTGCGGAACCACGGATCTTCTCCACATTCTCCCATAATGACATATACTGCTATGGCTGCCGACCTTCTACGCTTCCTCCAATCCATCAGCCCGAGCGTTGAGGGCGAAATTTCGCTACTGGGACATTCTATGGGTGGAAAGGTCGCCATGACTCTCGCTCTCCATCCGGATACTCCCCAAGGTCTACTTAAGAATTTGATTGTGGAGGATGTATCGCCCATCAAAGGCCGTTTGAGTAAAGAGTTTACTGGGTATGCTAAGGCGATGAGAAGGATTATGAATATGAATCTCAAAGATAGAAAAGAAGCTGATGAAGTCTTGAAGGAGATTGAGCCGGTGTGTATCACAAGTCTTGTGCCTTCTTTTCTCGAGAGACTCACCCCTGCGCATAACTCTGTATGCACAGGATATCACAGTAAGACAATTCCTTCTGACTAATGTTTCGGCGGCTTCATCTCCCGGAGCTCCTTTGTCTTTCCGTGTGCCACCCGATATCATTGCCGATTCCATGGAGAACCTGGGAGACTTTCCATTCTCATCTTCAAGCGGAGACGAGGAAGTGGTTTTCGATCGCCCCACTCTGGTCATTAGAGGGAAGAAGAGCAATTATATCAAGGATTCAAATTTGCCAGCATTTAGCAAGTTCTTCCCAAATCATCGGTTAGCAGAACTAGACACCGGACACTGGGGTAAGGTCTTAAATTCAAGATATTTCAATCGGCTCTGACTTCCTTTAACTTCCAAACATTAGTTCATGCAGAAGCGTAAGTTTTACTTCCCTGCTTTACTCTCTACTCAAGAAAGACCACTAACACACCTATCCTCACAGTCCTAAAACATTCACTGATGTCGTTATAGAATTTATAAATGAGGATAGATCAACATAATGAGACGCTACCAATAATAAAAGTCTTCATGGCATTATATCTGAATCTAATTTTAGACATCAATATGTGTTATTATCCAGATAAGAATTGTGAACTTGGAGAAGGTCAGCATAACCTCCCAACTCTCTCTTTGGGCCCAACTAGAAATCGAGAATAGATGAAACAATTAGGAAACACAGCCAAAAGTAAAAGAAGTTCTGATTGAAAGGAGAACGCTATCATGTAAATGGCCAAACCAGAAGCCATATAAACGAAGAACTCCATAAGGTTCCCCGGGGTTGATCCTTTGGAAAGACTATTGCATTCTGTATCATTAAATTGATCCAAAGCGGCACGGAAGTTGATTTCCGATTGCGAGTTGAGACACGGTGAGCAAGCTGTGATTTCGGAAAATGAGGAGTAGCTGAAATGTAGGTCCGCAGAGCCCATTTTTGACTCAAAATCGGGTAATTATTTCTTCCAAGATACCGGCTCGACTCTTTTGGAAATACCACGCTTTAAGCGGGTATCATATCTCAAAAGCCCTTGCAGCGGCTCTTGATGCCCGTATAAAGATGATTAATCTCTGCTTATCATCGATAATTAGCTGTTATGATGAGACGTTAAAAGGGGCTGTGCCGACTTACTTTTCAACCCACTCCTCATTTTCCGGAATTGCAGCTTGCCCACCGTGAGAGTGGCCCCATGTCGCCTAATGGTTGTGGTCAGTCGTCCATGATTTTGAGCCTGACCATACACCCTCTGTATGAGGATAGATGATGCGAGATACAGCACCCGAAAAGGTAAACTAATGCGGGAAATTAGGCTAGTGCATCTCCTGGACAATCTCAACTATGTATCCTCTAGTGTATGCCAGTTCAAAGATTGATAGAAAGATCTATTTGGGATGCATCTGGTTCTGCAAAGTAGTTTGAGTTGATAAGCCACTAGGATCGTTGCCGAACCTTTCAAGTTGTAGAATCAGCTGAAAAGCAAATGTGCCATCTCATATCGGCTTTCTCTTTGCGGCAGTGGTTAACAGCGACCAATAGTGGTCAATATTCCTGGTCTCCATCTTTTCTCAAACCAGTATTTGACACTCTATGTGAAGGCGAAGATCAACACTTCCCAGGCTATTGGACGCTTGGAGAAATCCTCCGGCTCAATGACTTGTGTAACGGTCACAGTCTACAGGCTTGGCTTATATTCTCTTTTAGTTTCTCATCCTAACATATTCTTGAGTTTAATGTTACGGTGTTGCCTATTCCCTCCACCCTCGCTGGACTATTTTACTAGATATGGTGTTCCTTTCAGAACCTATGGATCCAAACATGATGAAACACCATTATCTAGTTTATAATAGCCGTATTCTGTTATTTCAGTTTTTTTTTTTATTTCTTCTCAGCAGGAATGGCGGTTATTGATGCTATTGTAAAGACAAAGAAATGGTTCGCAACTTAGTCCTGACTTCGGCCCCGTTTTTCAGCACCTGCACTGCACTTATCAAGATTACGCAACCCAATCATCTTATTTTAAATATGAATAATCATTCTATCCCTCGACCTCATGCAGCAGCTATTTCCGGTGACCAACAGGTTTACAAAGCGGAGGAGTGGCAACTATTCTGCATCTTTAGGGATGACTCACCTCCCAGGCGGATGTTCTCAGTAACTGCATCCCCCGATATCTCAACCGTTCAATTAGGCCGGCTGATTGCAGCGGGACTTCCTCGTCAAACGCCTGGGCCTGAATCGACAAGCCTGATTCTGTGGAAGGTAAGCGGGGCCTAGCATATATTTATAGACGATAATAGATGACCAACATATGTGTCAGTTAAACCAACCTATTCCTAGTCATGCAATAGACGAAGAGCTGCCCATGCGGCTTGTAGATCTTCCGCAGTCTGCAACAATCTTGGCACCGCACATGGTGATGAGAAGGATTATGAATATGAATCTCAAAGATAGAAAAGAAGCTGATGAAGTCTTGAAGGAGATTGAGCCGGTGT